TTTCAGTGAATGTTGTGAGTAGGGAAGTTACGATGATATGATAATGCTGTAAATTCCTTGATTTTATTTTTGTGTTGAATTTGTCTTGTATTTTAACTATAGCATTTTTATTTCATCCAATATTTTCTGGTTTCCTTCTATAGTTCTATTTCTTGCCTGATACTGCTATAGATAATGAGATGGATTGTACTTTGCATTATGTGATGCTAAGGCATTCTGAGTATTGGTTTACTAATAGAATTATCGTATTGATGTATGTGATGGCTGAAGATTGATGCACGTGCTGATGACACATGTGTGGAACAAACTTTACTTGATTCATTGTTGGCAACTATGTTTGGCAAGGATGAAATTGCATCAACTGCTCATGAGTTTTTAGAGGCCTATAGTGGAATTGAAGTTTGCCAAAAGATTCTGAAAATGTGGTACAGGTGAGTTTTATATTCCAGCTTAACTTTTGACGAACATGTTGGTAAATAAACTACACTAGACTCACTTTCTTTTCACAACAAGTGTCAATTATGGCTGAAGTCGTTCTTTTAATCATAGCTTAAGGCCATCTACTCAGAATGTTGTGGCACTGGTCGCTGAGGCGAAGAATTTGGAGAAAGACAAGGATCATTTAACCATGAACCTGCATAGAGCTGAAGAGGAGGTATTATGATTAATTGAAAGATGGTTCAATGTGAGGATTAACTATTATGGACTATATAAAATATATTTTTTTGATGTGTTCAGGTGAAACTTCTGTTTCAAGAAAACAGCATATTAGACAAGGAAAATAAAAGGTTAATGAGGCGATGCTACAGAGAACAGACTGCTTCTGATGGAAAATACTCGAGCAGTGGTTCTGTGAAGGTTCGGATTACCAGTTTTTTCATGAAATGCCCATCTGCTTGGGACAATTTTTTCGTGGTTGTATTCATGGTGTCATTTAATTGCTTGCAGGGGAATAAACGAAAATCTAGCCCTAAGTTGAGCAGTCCAGTGGATAAGAAAATTGATCTCAGTGATATAATTTCACTTAGGCAGCCTCTCTCGCCATTGCATCTAAACTCGCCTGAATCTAAAATGTACAAGTAGCGAACAATTTTTTTTTTTTTTTTTTGTGTGTGTATTTTACGCACGTCTGGGAATTTTTTTGCAACCCCATAATCAAGTTTGTGTAATCAGATTTACACATTTACTGTACGTATTCAATGGGGGAAATTGTGATGCTAATGTTTGATTGGATATCGGTCAATGAAAAGCACTGAAGATTTCGTCCTTCTAAATTTTGGAATCTCAAAACCCGTACTTATCTATCTATAATATTTTTTTTATTTGTATATTAGCTGAGGTTGGTGTACCGTTATTTAAAATTTTTTTTATTTTTTTTTTCAAACTCATTTTCAACCACATATTCTCACAATAAAATATTTTTCATGTAAACTCAAATATTTTTCTTACTTTTCAACTTTACATTTTCAAAAAATTTACTATTCAAAAACTCATTTTCTCTTGAAAATGGTAGACAAACAGGGGTATAATATACTGTGCATAAAATTTTATGGCTACTACCTGCTGATCCTTGCCAGTAACAGCAGATGGATTGAGCTTTCTGAATATTTTAAGATCCGTTAGATTATAAGAATGGAATTTAGGTGGAAAGAAAATGAATTTAGAGAATTGAATTGTTTAGAACTTGTTTTACTGTGAATTGTCAATTAATTGTGTTTGATTGATATAATTTTCCACCTTGAAAATATTAAAATTTTGGATCTTTTGGTGTTAGTATGGTTTTGCTTTTCATGAAAATTGTCCATTAAATGAATAGAATTTGTTACAATTGAGGACAGAATTTGTTACAATTCATGAAAAGTAACTTTTCCTTACTTTTTAATGCACATCCACCAAAAAAAAAAATGCTTTGCAAAACATCACTCTTTGCAATCGAAGAGAACTGAATATAAAACAGGTGACCGTGAAAATTGATGGTTTCCAACAAATTAATTTACTATAGAAATAGATTGATGCAACGCTCGAAAAAGACTCAAATAACAAGTATAGTTTTCCATTATTAATAGACCTTCACAACAAACTAAGAATTAATTTGTTTTGCCCCAACTAATTTAAGCCTAAAACCCCAATTGACTTGCCGTAAACCAGAAGAAATAGGATGTGCCAGAATATAGAAAAATTGGATTTCATTTTTCTCAGTTTGCTTGAAAGAAATTTAGTAGAGATTAGTATAAAGCAAAGCTTCGTTTGGTACTCATTTTGTACATACTGAACCTGGCCATTACTCTTATAAAATGGAGTTAAGGAAAAATGAATTTCCAAAAGGCACTTCTATCTCCTCAATCGGTGTAAACATTTTCTTGAATAGTTTTGGTAGTAAACATTTTCTTTTGCGTTACTGTCGGTAATTCCTCGTAGGGTTGTCGCTATTTGGTGGACAATAACTACATTCTCCGACTTCCACCTTTGATGCATTCATCTCCTCTAGTTTCTCTTCATTTTGACTCGTGATTTCAAATCTTTGGAGAATTCGAACTTTTTTCAGATGTAACAAGATGTTGTGATCTACTTTGTTTTAGTATTTTCTATGGACGATGCCAAAAATTTTTATGATAAAAATATGATCGATGATTTTATTGATTAAACAATTACAATCGATCGACAACACAAATACAATCAACAAAGCTTCTCACCTAACTATGATTTTCATCTCCTAAACTCGCTAGTCTTGATGCTCAAAAAACAAGAGAAGATATAGATATTTGTAAGAGAAATATTTGAATTACATCAATTTCTTCTTCAAACGAAAGGGTATTTATAGATTTCCTTCCAAGCCTTGGGGTAATTTGGTCTTTTTGGGGGAAATGACGAATGACAGCTCCTTGTTGGCTATTATCTAACATATTCAATTAATAATCATGCTTTATTCATTTACCCACGTGCCCTTTGGACATAGTTTGTAACCAGCCTAGACAAGAAAAATGGTTCATAATTTTTTTTGGCGAGCCTTCTGTCTTTTCGTTCCCCTCGCGTGTCGCTTTTCACTTCGTCCAATTGCTAGCTAGGTTCACGGACTTCATTTCAAGGGTTAACATGCACCCTTTACTTTTGTGTAGAAATTTAGAATCAATAATATCGTTAAAGTTTAGAGCTCTTTCGGCTAGTTGAGGTGTTGCTTTTATAAGTATGAAATTCATTTTATCGTGAAAAATGATTGTGCACTAGAACAACAGAATTGTCTTAGGATCAACAAATTCTACCTGAAATTTATTTCTTTGTGAAAATTATTGTACAAGAGACGATATAGATAATCAAGGAAAAGTAAACACGAAATGGTCTGAGCCTGCAAAATGATCTCACTGTTTAATATCACTTTCATGAACCGATTCTATTCAATTTTGTCAAGATTTAATGATGTATACATTGAAACATTCAAACTACAATTCTTGGTTTGCAAGATATCAATCTCCTTGATGATGTTTCAAGAAACATATAATCAGCATCCAAATCCCATTGTTCAATGCACCAACTCACAAACTGAGTGGCGGTTTGATGTGTGAATAATGCTACTTTTATCTATAGTGTTCAAAACTAATTTTACTACGATGAATCCTAAATTTATATATTCAACTGAACATACGATTTAATGTCACATAAACTAAATTTAATTTTTTCAAACAATCATGCTACACGTACCTCATGATTGACAACACTTTTTTAAGTGACAACAATTTATACCATTGATTTTAAACACGTCAATTTCATCACTGTTCAGATTCCTTCCACTTAGGGAGATGTCATTTTGGTGTCAATTAAAGATGTACATCTAATTTAATTCTTTTTCAAAAGCATTATTAGATTTTATTTAATGGGACGAAACATGATTGTTATCATGACCAACTACTTTTTAAAGATAGAAAGGGCATCCGAGGCTAATGCGAGTGCAATCATTACCCTCATGCCAAATAAAATTGCAACTAATCCACTCGAAGAAACCTAATGACAAAGAA